GAGACCGCAGGACAGAAACTAACTAAGGCCAAACCCACCAATTATGTCTCACTTTGTACAACTATTGACTTTTTTCGGTGGTTTTGAAATTTTAGTTGTTCCTTGCATATTTCTTGTTAGTCTTGTTAGTCCGAAGACTATTTGGGGTGCCAAACTCGAACCTTCACCCATTAAAGTTATTTTATCCCAAAAGAACATCTTCTTCAAGTTTAAATTTTTTGGGATGCGCGTGTTCCAGTTCATACGAATGATGAAAATCCAACAAATCATCGGTGAAAAAAGTGGACCACTTCCTCTGATTGGGAAACGATTTTGCCTACACCACGATCAATTAATCTTAGTTTTACTTTTAAATGTGTAGGATAGATGAACAGTTTTAATTCCCTTTTGTTCTGCAGAAGTCGAATCTACTGTAAAAGTACATGAATACCATTGAAATGGAGATTTTTTGAATAGTTATTGTAATCAGTTTTTCACGGACGTAAATAATCAGCAAAAAAGTGTACCTAATGTTTTAGTTAGCCTTTTCATAAGTTAATACGAACTATCTTTGATGCAATAAGGAGATAAATAAATCCGCACATGAGGATAGAATAACATCAGCGGATGCAGCATGTCGTGATGCAATCATTCTCTTATTGGAGCTGGTCCTCTAGCAAGTATAAATTTGTTGGTAGTTGATATTCTACAATTGTATTACATGGCAGTTTGTGCTCCTGATGTAGTCATTGATGAAAACATAGAATAGCACAGGGCCTAAAATCTGGTGTTGCGGGACGCCAATTGTCTTGTGTACTTCTGAGGACTGCTGCTGTTTACATTTTTCTTTCTCAATATGGAAACTGGCATACTGCAGATGGAACCTATAATTTGAGTGGGTTGCCAGTAACCATATGGTGATCTCATGCCGGAAAGACCCAGCGTCCTTCTCGTAGAACTGAACAAATATCCGAATAATGTCACCAGGGTTTAACCTTTAGAATGCTCCAATGTGTTTACATGTCTTCCAATAGCCTACCAATCTCGTAGCGTGGTCAGTCTTTTAATGCGAAATTATAAAACGCAAAGATGGTATTAATTCGCGTTTTATAAACTAATTTGAACCGGATTAGATAACTTTTTGCACTGACTTCATTCACTTGACTAAACACGAACGAAGTTACAACATCTATCTGTTAGGATGTTAGCCGGACCAAATTCTAG